ACAGAGTGTGGAAACTATAGAACAATATTGATTTCACATGCAAGCAAGATTCTACTGAAGATTATCCAAAAACGACTGGAACAGCACATCAGCAGAGAATTGCCAGAAGTCCAGGCTGGGTTTAGAAGGGGGTCGTGGCACTAGGGATATTATAGCTGATGTTAGATGGATCTTAGCTGAAAGCAGAGAATACCAGAGGAATGTCTTTCTGTGTTTCATTGACTATACAAAGGCGTTTGACTGTGTGGATCATAACAAACTCTGGCTGACTCTGAGAAGAATGGGAATCCCAGAACACTTGATTGTTCTAATGCAAAACCTGTACTTGGATGAGAAGGCAGTCGTCAGAACAGAGCAAGGGAACAATGCATGGTTCAAAATTGATAACAGATTATCCAGGAGGCTGGGCTCTATGAGGAGAAATGTAAATGTGGATACAATTCCACTGTTTCTCCTCCATGCATGACATAGTGTTATTAGTATGCGCAATTATAAATCTATTGCCTTCCTTACTCTAACTTATTTTTTTTAAATTTAAATTTATTATTAATTTCAGTAAAAAAAATTTACAGAGAGTTTGGATTTCCATTCATTCATTGTTGTACATTTCTCCCCTACCAACCCTCCCCCCAGAACACTACTCTCTTGGAAAAGTGAAAGAAAAGTTATTTCATTGTTTTACAAACCTTCATCCCCCAGGTCCACTCCACCATGTAGCCTTTGCTCTAGACTCCTGTCATGATAAAAATACCTAATCACATATCCGTTTTAAACAGTTTTCTCCCTCATCTGTTTCAATGCAGTATACATTATTGTACCCATCTTTTTCAGTCTCCACAAACCCAAGGTCAGTCCTGTTTTACAACAGTGGCACCATGTAGTATTTTGTCCTTTTGTGACTGAGAAAGTTCACTCAGCATAATGCCCTCCAGAGTCACCCATTTTGAATAAAATTGCATGAGTTCCTTGGTTTTCAATGCAGCATAGTATTCCATTATGTGAATATACCACAGCTTCTATGTCCATTCGTTTGCTGATGGGCACTTAGGTTGTTTCCAGCTCCTTGCTATTGTGAACAAAGTCACAATAAACATGGATGTGCATATATCTGCTTGAGTGTCAGTTATGGTCTCTTTGGGGTATATTCCCAGTAGTGGAATTTTTGGGTCAAATGGTATCTCTATTTGCAACTTTTTGAGAAAGCGCCATACTGCCTTCCACTGTGGTTGCACCATTTTACACTCCCACCAACACTGAATACGGGTTCCAGTTTTTCCACAACCTCGCCAACCCTTGTTGCTTGCTGTTCTGTTAAATTTTGCTATTCTGACTGGGGTGAGATGATAAGTCATAGTTGTTTTGATTTGCATCTCAAAGCTAGAGATTTTGAACATTTCTTCATGTGCTCAGTGAAGTGCCTACTCATACCCTGTGCCCATTTTTCTACTGGATTATGTACCTTTATCTTGTTGTGGTTCTCAAGTATTTTATAAATTCTAGATTTAAGTCACTTATCTGATATTATTACCATATACTTTTCCCCAATCGGTGGCTTCCCTTTTTACCCTGTTGGAGAAGTTTTTGGATGTGCATAGGGATTTGATTCTTAGAAGATCCACTCATCTACTTTATCTTCTCCTGGTTGTCGGTTTTTCAGGATACTTGGAAGACTGTTTATGTTGTGGATTAGGACTTATAGCATTGTTCCTAGCTTTTCTGTAATGAAGTTTATATTCCTTGGTTTTGTCCTAGGTCCATGATCCACCTTGAGTTTGTTTTTGTATATGGAGTGAGGTGTAGATCTTGCTTGATTCTTTTGCAGATACTTTTCTAATTTTGCCAACACCATTTGTTAAAAACACTCTCATTTCCCCACTTAACTGATTTCATCTTCTTGTCAAAAATCCGTTGACCATAG